ATTACTTATTATATATATATATATATATATATATTATATATATATATATTTGATGAGAATAAAGATAACAGACAAAAGTTTGATTATGAAAGTTCAAGGATTTCAAGAAGCCATGTTGATAATCTTGATGTATTAGAAAAGAGGAATGACATTATCGCAGATGATTGACTTTCAGGAAGCCTTATTTTGTAAGTCTTCATCTCCATTCCTATTATAAACTAGAGTCTGTTATTTTCAAAATATTATAAGAAAAATAATAACATTTGCTTTTTGAGATATTACTATCAGCGTGGAATATTACAAAAGGTGGATGGTCAACGACTTGTTTATCAATTTATGGATGTACCTAAAGAGGTATATCCATTCGTTTCTTTATTCGATATTGATCGCATTATTATGTATAAGTATACTTTTCTTCGAGGAGAAAAACGACAGAAAGATGACGAAGATATTTATTTAAAGATTGTTTATTTTTGTTTTTGTAATATTTGAAGTTAATGCAATTGAGGAAAGATATATCCTAGTTTGAACTTAGGTAAAGATGAATAGTATCACCACCACTATGCTATTCATCGTGAAATTGTCTTTGTCCAATTAAGTTTAAAGTATTGTATCAATCTTGAAAGTATTTTTATTTTAATAGCATTTGAGGGATTCTATGAAGATCAACAGCATATTACTGTGAATGGCAATGGTAACTGTAGCAATAGCAGGAGACAACTGAAAAAGGAAAATAACTATTTGAATTTCAACGAAGGAAAAAATGTCATCGAGATGTCACAGGAATGAACAATACTGCATCAAGCAGTGTTTGTGATTAGTAATGATAACAATCATTCTCCTTAATGGAAGCAGCTTTTTAAGAATTAAAATTTATTCCTTTCAAGTTTTCAAGATTTTAGGTTTTCACTTTAATTTATTCATTAGTTGAAAAAACGTTCATTTTGTTTGTGCTATCATTGAAGCTCAAATTTGAATTGTCGTATTTGACAAGTGGCAAGCTTATTCTCTTCATGCTGGAATTACATTTCAAATCTTTCAAAAAATTTTTCTGATATTTGTAAAGTAGATTGGTGAGCTCCCTGGTGTAGTCTAGGTTTGATTACAAATAATCTTTCACCACTCATAACTGTCAGCAACGCAAAAGTCAGCTTTCAAAACATCCAGATGACCAGTACTATGATTAGCTCTCTATCTGACCATTAAATCAAGTTCAATATTTTCAAATGCAAACAAAAATTATCATTTCCTTTTCTAATTTTTCATTTAACTGAATTGGGTAAGATAACTTTTGTAGTATTATTTGGTTATTGCTTGCCAAGAGATAGGTAATTTATTTCAACTATGCTCATTTTCGGGCCTTTTTATCTCTCTATCCTTTTTGGTCACTTCACTCAGTGACCTATATGATAAATCGTTTGTTCATTTCTAATTTCAAAATAATTTTAAAGATATGAATTGTGATGAATAAGTATGCTGTGATCATTTATTTTCTTCAATTTCTTAATTATGCAAATGAGAAAATGAGTTATTGGTATTACTTGAAAAACTTACAACAATTTATGTGCCTTCTTTTCTTTTCAAAAATAATTTTTTTTTTCCTTTAAAATACTTCATGAATTACATTATTTGTAAAGTGATATTTACTCATAATCTTTCTGCTGAAAATTTCAAATTTTTTGCCAGTTTAAATTGCTCAAACTTAATTTCTCTCATATTTACCAGAAAATATTCAGTACCACACGGCTTACAGTATTAGTGCTTGACCATATGCGGGACATATCCATGGATAGATTATGGCTATCTGACTTTTCTCATTCAGATAGAGTATACTGCCCAGTTCTTTTGATTCCACTCTTTCTCAACCATTTTCTATCACTGTAAATTTTCTTCTCGATAACTATTCTATGGAAGAGAAAAACGTGATTTCCGGATATTTCTGGAAAAACCTCCTTCAACTAGACCGGATTAGACTTTATTTTATTAACAAGAAAATACTTTACTCATTGATTTGCAGGAAAAGATGCATATTTGGTTTCGTTTTGATTGTGTTATATGTCAAGTAGTTCTGCATATGAATCAATTTTAAGTAAAATTTTGTGTGATAAAATGATTTGAATGTTTTGAATTCATTAATTAATTTGAACATCTGGTGAACTACTAGACCAGGTATTTTGAAAATACTGAACAAACAGTTTTTATTCCCTTTTTACTGTCAGCTATTGCGTATTCCTTGCGGAAAAGCAGTATTAGTTTCCAAAATGTTTTCTCCGACACAAACCTTGTTAACAGGAAATGATAGGCGGATTCCGTAAAATCATTTTCTAAACCTAAGATACTATCAGTTTTAAATTTATCTTGTGATATTATCAGTGCAATTTTTCCATTTATTTGAACAAAGTGTTGATATGCCAATTAATCAATCAACGAATTATTCCATTATTAATCGATCAATCGGCGATAATTGAAATAAGTCAGCACTTATTATAAAATGACATTGTGGAAAGTTTCGAAATCAAAAAAAAAAAAAAACAAAGAGAAATAATTAGAACAATTGTATACGATGATTTTCACGATCGGAAACAACAATTGTGGTATCAATGAGTGCAACCGCTTCAACACCTTTAAGTTGTCCAGGTGCATTACCCCATGTACCAAAACTATGCATGTAACGACCATTCGGATAGAAAATTTGTACACGATTGTTACCACTGTCAGCTACGATAATGAAACCCTGAAAAAATTCTTCTTCAAATACACTTATCAATGAATTGATTTTAAAACTATTCGAAAATTCACTTTCCGCAATCTAACTATTCAAATTCAAAAATCTGAAAGGTATGAGGAAATGAAGGAAAGTTTACGTGATAGGTAAGGTAGAATGAGAAGAGAAATCCCAAAATTATGTTATGAATTCCCTTGCAAACACAATGCTAGTGAGAAAGGAGAGGTGGAAAGAATCTTCAGATTCAGAAAATCTTCAAATAATACTGCTTCATTGAGGTGAACCTTATGACGGAATAATTTAATTTAAATTTGAAAAAGCAAGATGATAAAGGATTAAAATATTCCCTTACAAATAGCAATGAAGACAATTTACAAGCTTCCAAACATACGGAATGAGGATGAGAATAAAATTATGAGGTTGAGGGAGGAAGGAGGTTATCGAAATGTATGGAGGTGTGAGAGGTTCTGGGCACAAAACCTGATCATCAACGGCGATTCCACGTGGGAATTTCATCTGGCCGTTTTGGTATCCTTCGGAACCAAATTGAAAGATTGGATTGCCATTGTGATCAAAGATGCAAACTCGATGATTCGAACTGTCTGTTACATAAATATTTTGTGTCCGCTTATTAACAGCAATGAATTGTGGATGATGAAATTGGCCAATTCCTGGGCCCATTGTACCAAATTTGCCAGCAAATTGTCCCTTGCTATCGAACATTTGGACACGATGATTGTCCTGAATTGCTTTTTCCTCGTGAAATGCACTTTGCTGATGCTACCAATTTAAATTTGAAATACTTTTTTCAAACTTAAGATCATTTTTTACTGCTTCGAGCAGTTCAGAATCACTTTTTCACTGCTCATAATAGTTTTAAGATATCCTGAAACACTGTTCTACATTCAATATTCTTACATCCTGAAAAAATACCAAGAAATTATCCCTTTCATACCGGATTCAATCTTCCTGACGTGAGGACTAATAAAAACTCAGCCTAATACTCAATCATAACTTTGTGATTCGCAGGATCGTCCATTTTAGTGCAGCATATCATCAATGTTATGTCGACGCAAGTGGTGACCGCTGCTTTTCTTTCATCAACAAAAGCTTCCGACGTAGCCTTGGCACGAAAGCCTGGCTTTCATCAGTCCGGTTCAGTAGAATGGCCAAGCAGCACATATTTTCGCCAGAGACATTTGCGCCAGCACTTTTATTATGCAGCTACACAAATACGTTCTGATCCTACAGGATCTCAAGAAAGATGTAACTGACAGCAATTTCCGAGATGGAAAAATGCTTCAGATATGTCGTTGATAAAGGTGCATTTTTAGCGCAAATGTATAGGTTAAGTCAAATGGAACAGTATGAAGCTGTATCCAACATCAGAGTACTGCATTCGGACGATCCTGAAAACTTCGAGTAACGACGATGTATCTTAATGCATTGTTAGGTTATTTTATCTTTGTTTGTTCTCAGGTACCTACGTACCTTGTCCACAACGTAGATCATTCCCATATCATCCACGGCTACACCCCATGGATTGTTGAAACGACCGCTCGATGGGCCATGTCCACCAAATTTTTTCACGCAATGCCCATTTTGATCAAAAATCATGATTCGATGATTATAACGATCGGAAACAATTAGATGTTTGTAGCGACTACAGCAAATTCCAGCAGCACTGTCTAATTGTGCGTCACCGCTGCCGTATTTTCCAAACATCCTTAACAAACGTCCACCTGTATTAAATATACAGATGCGATGATTGCTACTGTCACATACTGCAAATTCGTTACCGCCTAAGACGGCAAGACCACGTGGCCAATTAAGCTCTCCTTCTTTGGAACCTTTTTTACCAAACACCAGTTTTGGTTTTGCTTTTGCCACGTAATCAACAGTACAGATGAAACGTGGAGCTTGGAACAGACGACCATCATAGGAGGTTTCGCCATCCAAAGCAATACTGGATCGTTTACGGTATCGTGATCGACGATCTTGACTCGGTAAAGACGGAGTAGCTATCACCGCCATGTCGCTGGTTTCGCTATCTTGGCGCACTAATAGACCGCTACCGGCCAAACGGCTGGAGCGTTCCAAAAGGAGTTGTTGGACCCGGCTATTTGAGGATGGTATCTGGCTAGTAGTACTGGGACTAATATTGTTACTATTACCATCAGCAGAGGGGAATGCCAGGTTTGCCAGGTTACTCTGTTGGCCGTTCAAAGCAACCAGTACGGAAATCAGGTCAGGATTTGTCTTCGAGCGTTGGTAACGTTGCCGACGTCTCAATAACCATGATGGCAACTGCTCACCTGGATAATGTGTAACCGGAATCGGTAATGACGATCCTTCAGCGCTTTCAGTCGATAGAAGTGTTTCCTGAATTGCAGACGAAAGAGGATTTGGATCGGCAGGACGTTGGTGGACAATCGGTTCTTTAGATTCAGAAGCACTACGACAAATGATCCGGAAGCGACTGTTGGTCTGTTTCTGCTGGATTGGTTCGTTCTCACATTCGCTTTCATCACTTGTATTAGTGTCCCGGTTGCTGCTGTTACTGCTGTTGTCAGTAGTACCGTTCAAAGGTACCAACTGCTTCGGTGACATATTTTGAATTCGAGTAGCACGACGCATTTCATGGGCTGTACGGATGTTTTCAATTTTTTCATTCAAACTTGTATCATCACCTGACACTTGTCGTGGCAGAGGCGGTTTCTTGGTAAATTTCAGTGTCGCCGAAGATTTTGGGGTGACATCGATGCTTTCATTTTGATGATTGTTTATTGGTAAGGGTAGCGGTATATGACTTTGATTAGCAGATTTACGGGCTTGTAATGCTGTTGTTGCTGCATTACCAACGGATTCTTCCAGTGACCGCTGTGAGTGGTTTAAAGTATTTCTCGAATTTTGCGGTAAAGCATTGATACCATCGACAATCTTGCTTGTTTGGTTAGCATTCGATTGCCTAATTTCACTTCCTGATTGGTTCTGGACAAGCGTAACAGTTGATTCCGTTGCAGGTTGACCTTCATTTAACACCACACCTTTGGGAACGACTAAAAATTTGTTTACTGAATTGTTCTCATTTGTTGTAACACCACTCTGTCTCGAACTATCGCTAATAGTGGTAGTTGATAAGCCTTCAGGGATAACTTTTGCAGTTGCGGTTGTTAAATCATTTTTTGTAATAGCATTTGTACTAGCAACAGATGGACTCATACCATTCCCAATTACGGTACGGCTCCATGGACTATTTCCCGGCTTATGACAAATACCACTACCGATACTTCCTGAAGTGCCAGTATTACTACCAGCACCTAATAACTGGCCAGAATTATCAAATTTTTCCGCTCTCAATCGATTCCAGGCTTCTTCTTCCATCTGTTGTCGACGACGATATCGAATAGACATCATATCTTCCTCTCCAGCGTTAACACGTATCCCGTAACGACCCACCGTACCGCGAAAGTCGTTTTGGGGACGCCCACCTCCTTCTTCCAAATCAACCACCCGTTTACTGGCATACTTATAGTTGTCCGATTCGTAACCAATTTTCATCGGACGTGGTAAATAGGACTGTTCCAACGGAAGATAGCGTCCAGCAAATTGGGGTAGCATGACGGTGAGTTCGCCAAAACTGGCAATAGCTGTCGGTAATTTTGAGGCATCATCACCAGGTGAAAAGCGTAACTTTTTCGAGAAAAGTTCGTCGGCATCAGGCTGAAATTTGAGAATTGAATTTAAAAGAAAAAAAAACCCACAAAAAATTGATCAATTAGCAGGAAATGACTAAAAATAAATGACACCAAAAGTTGAAATAAATGTTTAATTATTATTTTCATTTTCTGTTAAAACATGCGGTAGAAATTTAGTGAAATAAGATACATTGTATAGTGCCATTATTACTGCCATGTTAGAATCGTATCTTATCCATCCCTCAACAGTGTGGACTATCATCTGGTCAATGATATGATCTATGTGGACATGAAACGTTATGATATGTGTTTCAAATCGTTAGTAAGAAAAGAAAGATCCATCTTTTCTCTACTTGAAATGACAATTAAAGTATTTAGTAAAAGATTAGCTACTTCAAAGCATGCAAATCCCATAATTTCATAGGATAGATTTAAAACAAAAATAGAAGAAAAAGCATCTCTTATGAACAAAATGATAGAATATTTTTAAATTCGATGAACAAAAAAAAAGGATGATTATGAATTTTTTCTCAAATTATTCTTATTCTTTTAGCAAAAAGAAGTGCATGCTTATAATGCTTATGATGTGACCCATTTATTTTGACTACAGCAGATAATTCTTTTGAATTTAATATGCAAATTAAGAATTTAAAGAATAAATAATGCTAAGCTAAGCAGAGTTAGTTTACTTGAAAATTCCTCAAATATTCCAATCCATCCGAAAAGACACTCTTTAGTTTCACCAGTTCAGAATCTTGCATTTCTCGTTCACCTTTCAGTGCTGCTTCTAAATATGCACAGCCTGCAATAAAAAATGATTCGTTGCAGAGACTGCAAATGAGAGATATTGTTGGCTTCCTTCTACAAATTTACTTTACTTTGTAAAGTTAAGAGTTCTTCCATCGATATTTGTTTCAGGCTTAAGCTTTGTAATGAAACTATTATCACTCATGCTTAATAAACTATTACAATTAAAGAGATATATTGACAGTGATTTTTCTTTAAATTTGAATTATTAAAGTTTGGTTTTAGAGTGTTCAGTGGAGAAAAATCAAATTCCTTGTTACAATAGATCAAACGATGAAATTAGCAAGAATTTTAAAACCTTCGCTCATATTCGAACTTTCGATTTCAAGTATATCCCGTAAATTACGCATAAGTCGAGTTTCGGTTGCATTAAATGTTTCGATTTCCTCGATAAACATTTCTTCGCGTTTTTTTAATTCCCGATAATAACGACGAAAATATTCTCTGACCTATAAATGAAATTTTAAAAAAGTTGTGATGAAGTAATTTGATTAGTTGAAAAATTTCATATCAAATAATGGACTTTTAGTCAGTGCTACAAGTTTGATTCAGTCAAGTTACATTTAATAATTAATTTCCTTTCAATTTAATCATTTTTTCCAGCGATTCAATGGATGTCATTTCAAAAAACAGAAAGATTTTAAATTGTTCTGCTAACATTTTAATGTTGAAATGGAAGCAAGATGTGGTACCTCATCCTTCGTAGTTTCACAGTTTAATGATAACAATTCAGCTCCTTTACTCAATCCATCAGATGCTTCCGTAATTCGATTTGATAAACGTTTCACCTGGAATATGGCACATTTTTTTGTGCCAAATTACTTTGCTAATCTTCTTTTTAATTTACAGTTTTTAAAGTTCAATGCTCTGAAAATCGTTGAATTTAAAGGCTTCAAAATGTACAAAAGAGATTTGCTTTTAAAAAATATTTTAAAAAAGTAATAATAAAGAGCTATATTCAGTAATTTAAAAAGCAACTATACCGTCTTTTTTTTTTTTGCGTGTTAGAAATGACTTCGGAGAAGTAAATCCTGTTTATATTTGTCTTCCTTTCTAGTTAAGTTATTTAACCCTGATGGTATTTTGTCAAACAACTTTCAGTTACTGTGACATTTACTTTATTATCCTTTTCTTTTTTTTTTTTTTGTAAATTTCTTGACCTGATGGTACTTTGATGCTAATATGAGATGTTATGATCTATTTCTGCATAGGATATACATACGGATTTAAGCAAATAAAGTTATTTTTAGTTGAAATCGTTGAAATATAAGTAGGACCAGGTCGAACCTGGTTGAGCATTCTCGTTAGATCACGCTTCAACATTTCCAGATGTGTTGCACGACAATCACTGCAGGCTCGTTTTTCACAGTGGGCGCAAATGTCCAGTACAGCTTTTTCATCGCAAATTTTACATCGTTCCAGATTATACCTATAAATTCTCCCAATCTTTTCATCCCTCATGGTGTCTTTAAGTACCAATTGGTATCAGTAACACGGTATGTTACAATCATTGCACTTTATTCTACAGATGTTCATCACGCAACATTTGTTACTGAAATGATAAGCAGAGTACAAACCTCAGGCTAATAGCTATATTCAATCCCTTCAAACAGCTGTGCAATTTTTAAGTTTTCATTTATGCTGAATGAAACAGCTACACTTGCATTTGTTATGAATGTAGTGCTCTCCCTGTTATCAGTATGCTTTCTTATGTAATCAAATTTGAAGCAACCTGCTCATCTCTTCTCTTCCCTTTGCTCTTCTTTTTATCAGCTAAACATCTCTGATTAATGGAAGAGAGTAAGTGAACTGCGTAATTTGATATATTTCAGGAGATGGCAGTTAATTTCTGATAGAATTGAAACAATGATATGAATTTCACGTGGAAATGGATTTATGAATGAATTCAAAAAATTCTCAAAAAAAAAAAAAAGCAGGAGAATCATTTCTAAATAATCATAAATTATTGATATCATTAGATCTTTCTCATCTAATTTTATCATCTTATTCTTTTCAGGTTTAGGTCACTTTTCCCTTTCACTTTCATTCTGTCACAGTTTATTTCATCTTCTCTGTGAACAGTCACTGAACGCATAATTGACAAGTGCAATTAATTATATTCGAAATAGAAATGGAAAAACCTCTGGATGTAAGCTTCCAACTGAGCGGCATTGTCGTCTGTTGCTTGCAAATGTATGTCCAAGAAACCTGTAAGGGTATAATTGGATTGGAAATTTTTGACACCTTCATATGGTACCGGATGTTCCGCTCTGCATTCCGGACATTTCAGCACCCGACGAACCAAATCAACGCAATTATCCAGACACGGTAAACAAAATGTATGATGACATGGTAGCAGTTTCGGTTGTCTGCAATATTTGACAATGATCATTTATTTGATTATTGAATTGCAATGCCCTCTGAGATGAATAAATTGGAAATTGTGAATTTTTTCTCAACTTTGAAAAAAAAAAATCAAAGAAGTTACAGATGCGGAAGAAAGATGAGTCATCCCCTCTAATATTGCTTTTTTCTTTGTGATCGATTATATTCTCAGACAAAACCGCTTTTCTTGATAGCATTTTGCTTTGTGAAATGTTTACATTTAGTTCCCTCATGGGAAAATGCGCTCGGAAAAAAAAATGAAGCATTTTGAATCGAATGTTAGTGATGTAATAAGTAAAAAAGGGACAAAACCGGAAGGCAATTATTTCAGGTTAAGTCAACAGGATAGAAGCGATAAAGTAGCGGAGATGATGACAAATCCACTGTAATTATTAGCAGATTGTAGGAGATTACTTCCAGAGGGAAGCGGGAATAGATCGGATCTAGGAACAACTCTTTATTGTTATAATTGCTCAAGCCTTAGATGAAATTAGTTCGAAGGAGCGCTTTTGATCTCACAGTTCTTTGAACTGCTAGAACGACAAACTGTAGATTTGATAGCTAAATGAAAAAATCTATCATTCAAGGAGAAACAAATTGAAATATTGGACGAAAACGTTTTCGATGAAAAGTTTGGAGATTTATAGAGCGCTAATGGATGGAAGTGAAATTGTCACTTTCAAGGGATCAAATCACATTAAACAGAACTCATTTCTTATCATTTTATCATCCGTATTCTTTAATCTTCCAGTGCTGAAATGAAGGAATATCGGACATGTTTTCAGGATGCTATGGGTTTCTAAAAAGAGATCATAATATTCCATTCCATTTTATTACATCAATTTAGGTGGCTGATGATGTCAACCATCTGTCTCTGACATCTGTATTATATTTATATTTACATTTGTATTTCTATTTATATTTGTATTAAATTTACATTTATATTTATATTTATTGTTTACCTTTATATTTGTATTTGTATATACAAATGTCGGAATGAATTGTCACTAATGAACCGTTGGCATTACAAGTTGAATTTTGTAAAACAATATTTGGTTTCATTAAAATGATAACGCATAAATTCCATTATTGTTAACAGCAAAAAGAACAAATGAAATATGCTTAACTTTTGTTATATACAGTATGAGATTGGATTACAAGGATATAGGTAAATTACAGGAATTTCTAACTTCATTATGTAAATTTTCAATTTTTCTCTTCTCTATTGGTCACTGTTGTTGTGAATAGGAAATTTAAGGAGTTTCGACTCCTATGGAATATCACAATGAATCGATATTTTAATTTCTCAATGTCATTAACGATCGAAAGATATATTTGATAAAGAGATCACATGATGCAAAGATGTCATAGGTCATAAAATTGTCATTAAGCAGCATATAGGAGAATCTATGAAAATCACCTTTGCATTAAGAATAAGTAAAAAAAAAAGAACCGTCGATATGGGGCCACATCACGATGAAACGTCGAACTATTTGAAGCCAAATTAGTTTAATAAGTAAGCAAATCATTTATTGCGTTAATAAATGGTAATACAAAAATTTTACTTAGCGATTTAAATTGGTAAAGTTTTAGTCCTAGATTTAATTTTAAATTAAATACTAAAAAGTTTTTAGAATTTAGCTTATACTGTCTTTTATCATTAGAAGAAAATCCATTGTTAGTTAATTGGGTTAGTTAATGGTACGTTGAAAGATAAATCTGAAGCATTTAAATCAAAATCAAATTAAAATTAGTAAAGAAACATAATAACTTATAATGACTTCATTTACAAAATCTTACTTGTAACGATCCAAGCAAATTGGACATGTTAGCAGTTGTTCAATTTTTTCCAGTGGATTTTCAAATTCGGGGGGTCGTGTAGCAGGTGGAAGCAGAAGCATTTGGCGGATAGGATCAAGAGATGTGGCATTATTTGTTGTTGGCGATGATGTGGCGGTAGTCTTCGTTGATGATGAAGCCATTAAACTGACTGAGCTGATGGACTGATGTAAGGAAGGCTAAAAGTGGCTTTTGCTACAAAACTATAAAGCTCATTGTCATCATAAACATTACAATAAGCACAGATGTTACTGTCAACTATCCCTTTGTTACTTCAAAAGCTCATTGTTTTATAGGCCTTAAAGCAAAATATGAAGTAATTTTAGGCCTTCCTCCTCACAATACTGCTATAACACAGTTTATGAAATGAAAGACGGATTTGCTCCTCCTGAATTTTCCGTGGTAAGTTCCTCCTCTCGGATGTAGAGAGATGAGAAAAGATTGGTAAAATGATATGAGGTCGAGCTTGAGCTCTAACATCAGCTCCAGCTTTTCTCTTCTTTCCTCACTCCTCTACTTCAAAACTACTTCTCATCCATTTTTAACATATTTCAATAAAACTGAAAAGCTCAACCTCCTCTCTCTTCCTCTCTTCTCTGCATATTCTCAATAACAACTTTTTGCTTGAAAAATTGAAAAAAAAAAAATGAGGAAAGTTTTCCAATCATTTCAGAACTCTTCGTCCTTTTTATAATTACATTAATTATCGATCCACGAAATGCATACCTGTTCATATAATAGCAAGTACCATACATCTAAACCTCTTCACTTATATAGTATTCTTTTCTCCTCTTCTATGCTACCTTATTTTCATAACTTCCCTACACTGTCATTCTACCCAATCATCCCTTTCAGTATTAAAATAGTAGAAAGTCAAAATGGAAGACTGAGTAGCAGTAACACTTAATGATTCAATGAGTGCAAAAAAACCACACACCACCTATGTATGTATACACATACATACATACACACACACACATACATACACATACACACACATACACGAAATACACAGACATACATTTATTTACACATAAAGGATAAGACTATGAAATGTTGGATCTGAAACACACCACGCTGTTGTTCCATGTAGCCTTAATGAGCAGTATTAATTAACAATATGAATATTTGTATCAGTTGGCTATCTGACCTTTGACATGCAAGTTGAAATGGAACTTATCCTCTCTGAGATAGGCTATCGGCTATTTCAAATATTCAAGGTTGAAGTGAATCTATATTCGAATATGTACAATATGATACTTTCGAATGGACTAATGACTGCTTCACTTTTTAATCAGATTTATTCGCATAACATTGAAATAACTCATTTACTTTCGATTTCAAAAGTTCCTCACACTCATGTCTTCCAAATCTTTAAATTGGAGAACTGAAAATCGATGATAATCTTATTTTACAATGACAGTTCCTTATATTGTCATCATTTTATGAGTGATATCTTTTTTATTGATAAATGATATGAGCTGCAATGTATGATAAATGAAGAAATGGTTGGATATTCCGTCCATCTAATTTCACTAAAACTGACGAAATGAGTAAAAAATTATGTGAAATATTTTCAAGCATCAAATATTTATTATTCCAGAGGAAAACAAAAAGAATTTAACGATATGACTAAGTGCATTCTTAGGCTCCTTCTCGGGAGAGACACTTTTACTGGTGGTGCACTAATTTTCTCCAGTAAATACAGAGCTGAGCAATTTCCTTTCGCTAACTGTTTTCAATTCAAAAGAAAAACTCGACATCATCTATCATGATGATGAATAAAATGATTTGCAATTAATATTTCAAGTTGAGTATCCCTAGAAAACTTCTCTTCAAGTTAAAACAAGTGAAAGTTGATCAACTGAAGGATAAATATTAGATAAAAACAACTTATCATCTTCATCACCATTTCAGAGCAATGATAATTGATGAGATCAAGTAGTACAGTGGAGGACAAACGTTGTTATCGATGTGACTTGCTATCATTAGCACAGGCAGACAAAATGACAGAGATTCATTCTTTCAAGGTCTTGGAAATGGAAAACGGTAAGTTAGCTTTGTTCCAATTCGTTGGCTCGTTTGATTTATTTGTTATTATATATCGTGAGAAAGTACCATCAATGTTAACAGAACAGTCCATGTTAACAATCCATTACCTATATAATACTCTATCAAATTAGAAAGTAAAGA